TTAGGTAAACTGCCTTACTTAAGTACCATAATTCATATATCTTTAGGTACACATTTTTTTTCACATTTTGACACCTATTAAAATTGATGTCATCTTACACATATTTGTCAGTATTTATCTTTCTTGGTGAGCATAAAAGAGTGATAAATTCTATAACATATGATATCTTAGATTCAGTGAAACATTGTAATTCATGGGGGAAAATATCAAAATTCTTTTTATTTAGATTGGATATTAGAGCTTATGTGTTCTAATAATCACTTGTATGGTGACATCTGTGGCATGTGAGGAGTATCACTATAGCAGAAAGCAAATATTGTAGTGAGTTCTTTTTTTTTTTTTTCCTTCGGTACTGGGGATTGAACTCAGGACCTTATGCTTACCAGGCAAGTGCTTATTCTATTGAGCTGTCTCCCTGGCCCCCATAGTGATCTGTTAACTTCTTGCATGTAGAGTGTTTTGTGTGTTTTAAAGTTGTGCTATGAGCCTTCCACGGTGCATCACAAACTTAGCTTTAATGAGCAGTACCATAAAACCAGTGCCTGAAATATCAGAGGGGTGTTTGCAGAAGGAAAGTTCAGACTTTTGATCATGTGACTTGCAGGATCATACTTTGACATGAATTCTTTGAGTAAGACTGTTCTGGCTGCTTTTGGTCACCTATTAACAGCACAGCCTTGCCCCATTTAGCAGTGGTTTTAATTAGAAAGTCAGTCCTTATGTTGTCAATGTTTGACAACAGAACAGAGCCCTACTCGGGAGTGGTATCAGACAGATACACGTCCTCTTGGGTTCATATGCTCCAGTGTGTCCAGGTCACTGGCAATCCTAGTTCTAAAGGGATCAGAAGAGGACTGAAGATTAGGAGCAGCAGGACAGTCGAGGTTCTTCCAGAGACCTTAGCATCCAAAGGAAATTGTACCATCAGCTGCAGAAAGGATCGCTTTTTCTTTTTCATCCTCTTCCTCCAGGGCCACGGCTCCTGTCACTGAGACTCATGCCAGAGTCCGCTCTAGGCTCATCCTCTGGCTTCTGGCCACCCAGGGTGCAGGGTGTGGGCAGCTCCCAAGGAGCATGTCACATGCCAGTGAGGCCGGGGGCCAAGTTTCTTGTTGGATGCTTTTTCACACAAGTAAAAATATCAAAGGAACAGAGGCAATGCGAACTCAGGCTCTTGATTTAGTTGAGAATACCAAGGAAATAAAAGTTCCATTTCCTCCCGTAGGTACATGATGAGGGGGTTGACTTATTTGCTGCATCAGAACACAAGACCAGTAACTTAACTACCTATGTTCTTGACTCCTGTATCAATAGTGAAAAAACAAAACAACCATAATTTTGGAGAAAAAAATAATACTTTATATCTTTTTATATTTTTGCATGCAAATGAGAGATTAAATTTTTATAAAACTTTGCAAAGAAAACATATTAAAAGATTCTTAAGACCTCAAAAAAGAAGCTTGGAGCTATGTTTTCACAAATAAGGAACCTGCCTCTAAGAACAGATTGCACTACACAAGAATCTCTCTTCTCTGTGTTAGTTGACTGTAGGCATAAAAACTAAGAGAAAATTAATCTGCTTTTATTTAGTTCAGCTGTCTAATGGAAAGGTTATTTTCTATTATGAGCGAGGGTTAATATCAATGTTGAACTTTCTGTAACTATAAAATTTAGCAATGGCAGGAATCTGTTTACTAACTTTAAAAAAATGAAACCTCAAAACTAATATTTATGGGTTTTTTTGTATTTAGGACAATGTGTACAGGGTCTCACTGCGTAGATCAGACTCAGAGTAATCCTTCTGTTTTCAGCCTCCCAAGTGCTGAGATTACAGGCATGTGCCACCATGCCCAATCTCAATTGCCCTCCCAGGATGTGCCAGGGGTGAGGCTGGCACAGCAGGCCCGGAGATCGAACTCCTGGCCCCTGCATCTTCAAAACTAATTTTTAAAAGAATGTTAGTGTCATCATGCCACAATGACATACCAAAGGCAATTAGATAACTGGTTTCTCTATGCTCTATGTTAAGAAACTCTGAAAAGATTCTAGAAATTTTTACAGAATGACAAATGCCATGTAGAAATAGACTTTTAATCATCAACAACTTTTTATAATGAACTATACTAAATATACTATATTTTGGCTAGTTTTACTAGTGGTCTATTATAGTAAATAATATAAACCAGTAACCAAATTATAACCTAGGAAACTTTTTTTTCCCACTATTTACTTTAACATTTAGGAAGGAAGTCTTTTCAAAGAAGATTGAAAATAAAGTCTCTTTACACAATACTGGAAGGAGTGTAATTCCAAGGAATACCGGAAAGAAAGGTATCTTAATTCTACAGTCTGATCTATAGTCATCTTAGTTGAACAAATGTCTAGGTAAATAGCATTTGTCTTCCCAAATTAATTGCAGCTTCTGATTAAACCCCCTTTTCACAATCTCTGGGAATTGAGAACACCATGAGTCTAGAGAGGCCATGGGAATCAAAGAATTTCCAACTCAGGTGCTGAGTGATTCTGATATGTAGCCAGATATGGGCTCTATGGATGTAAATTATGTAAGATGATAATTACAGGGTCTTCAGTCCTAGAATGGATTAAAAATACCTTTGAAAGCATTCACATGTTCTGTTCACTAAACAATGGTTGGAAGCCAGAGCTCCAAGCACTAATTCAGAAGCTGTAGATTCTATAGTTAGCAAAACAGGCAAAGCCTTTATCCCTTAAGAAGCTCATATGCTGGTGGGATACAGTCAGGCAACTATTAAAAAGAAACAACATAACTTCCCAGCTACTGATGAACAGATCAAGAAAGTGGGTACTTTGGCCATAACAAATGAATAAAATCTTATCATTTGCAACAACCTAGACAAAACTGGAGATCTTTATATTAAGTGAAATGAGATGAGCACAGAAAGATACATAAGAAGAAGATAAAGCAGAATCTTTCAAGTGGAATATAAAAATGTTGATCCCATAGAAGTGATAGAATACAATAAAAGGTAGAATAATGGATACCAGAGGCCAAGGGGAGAGGAAAGAAGGGCTGGGCCAAGATTGATCGATGAGCACTATGTTATAGATAGTAGAGTAGCAAGTTCTGTTATGGGAGTGTAGAGATTATGGATAATGGCCGCATAACTAATATTTCAGTACATATGCTATGAAAGCAAGCACAATATAGTAATGTTTCAAAAAGCTAGGAGGAGTTCAAATGTTTTAAACATAAATGATAAATGTTGAAATTTATTTAAACATTCTACAGTGTATACATGTATCAACATCACATGGTGCCCATAAATATGTGCCATTTTTATGAGGCAGTCTAAAATAAATTTTAACAACAAATATATAATCAGGAACAATAATTACAGTTTGCCACAGATGTTACAATTAAGTGGTTCAGGGGGAAAGAACTTCTTTCGATTTAGAAATCAGGAAACTTCTCTGTGATGCCAAGTATTTGTGACTTGAATGGGACAGTTCCTGTGACATCACAGATGCCTTTTTTAATTCCTTATTATGACCTCCCTGATGACATCACTGTGAGTCAGGCACACACTGGAAGTGCTCTGAGCAATGGAGACTATAAATGAGACAGAAGGAGGTTGGTGGGTGATTTGAATAACTCGGGTGTCATGAGTTATTCAAACCCTTGGAAGGGTTTTATGTCCCTTTTCAGAGTAGCACTTACACCTTAGGATCAGAAGTCTTAGTTTTTTGTCTATGTTTTCCTAACTTTGTCTTTCTGGAGCTCTCCTGGATTTTCTTCTAACGTTAGTACCTTTACATTATTTAGCATAGCTCACAGCCATGCTCACACCAAGAAAGGGCATCTACACCAACTTCATAGGCACACACTCTTGCGAAAAAGAGGACTATATCACAAGTGCAGTCTAAAATTATAAAAGACTTCATAAAAACAAGAGTCAGTAGTCTCACTTTTAAGTATTTCCCAAGGAGATGATTTTAGGAGACATGCAGTAAACATTTTACTGTTGTGGTACCTGGCACCACTTTTTTTTTTTTTTTTTTTTTTTTTTTTTTTTTTGGCAGAACCGGGGATTGAACTCAGGCCCTTGCGCTTGCCAGGGAAGTGCTTATTCCACTGAGCCATTTCCCCAGCCCCTGTACCAAACATTTTAAAAGGTACTTTATAGTTGCATATTTATTTTAATGTGTCTTTTTAAATAGAGGACATAAGAATATGAACTCTGAAGCTGCACTGACTCCTAGAATGTACTACTTAACTAGCTGCCTGAAGTTGAGTATATACCTCTCTGTATTCTAACTTTATCATCAGTAACTAGAATTGTACACATAGTACAGTTTCACTGAAGATACTGAGAGAATTGAGGGAGTTCATATATGCAGTGCTCAGAGGAATGATGATGATTATGATGATTTTTAAAATTGATCTGTTAGATTCATGGATACTAATAGGATCCGCCAAATTTAACTTCTGAGCTTTTCATTGTTTAATTATGTATGTTGTGTTTTAGGTGAAGGTGGAAAAAATGCAGTCATTGAAAAGCAGGAGATTAATGCCTGTTGCCTTCAAGATACTGATAAGCTGTCAGAATCAGCGCATGGGGATGAAGGTGACACCAATGATGAAGATGGTAACCCTAAAAAAGACACTCGTGCCCCATTAGAGTTAATGGCTGAAGTGAGTTTTTTTGATACATTCTAATTTATGAAATGTAAAAGTACTGAAATAACTAGATAACATTAAGCTGATTAAACAAGTTAGTCTACATGAATTAAAGATTAGGGGGCTGGGGAGATAGCTCAGTTGAATAAGCACTTGCCTGACAAGTGCAAGGGCCTGAGTTCAATCCCCAGCTCTGCAAAAAAATAACAAATAAAAAATAAAGATTAAAAATTAGTGAAATGATCCTTGCTCACGTGCAGATGCTTACCTGGCTAATCATCGCTCTTACTTGTGCTGCCAAGTCAGGGGTGAAAGAAATTCTAGAATGATAAGGCAGTATTCTAGTGAAGCACAGGCAGGAGAGAAGTTTGGGCATAAAACTCTTCAGGAATTTTTATGGCTTTAAGGAATGTGCTGTACATCCTGGGCACCATGCTTGTTGCTGAAAATATGAAGATAAATAAGAGAGACCTCTTCTGTCCTTGAGAAGAGCACACAGAAATAATTACAGTGAGATGAAATGTGTGTTACTAAAAATGCTTGTGAACTTCTCTGGGGCGAAGGGGATTTTTTTTTTTTTGCTCCTCGAATGCCTTCAGGGCACTTTTGGCTGGCTGGAGGGTTGTGGGGATAGAACTAGAACAAGCTGAGGCTGAGAGCTTTGTGGAAGCAGCCACTTAAAGAACTGAGCTAGAGCCAGGCCCCCGAGAAGGGGATTTAAGTGGCTGAGAAAAGAAGCAGGAGGAAAAAGGAAGAAAGATTTATGTAGATGAAGACAAATAGTATAGAATCTGATTTTTTAAAATAATTTTATTGAAAAATAGCAATGAGACAGTTTCAAAACTGATTACTAGCAGTTTCAATAATTAATACGTTGCTTATTGTTATCTTAATAGTTGGTTATTCATTGTACAAGATGCAGACATGATATCCTGTCCACAGACACTATTAGAACAAATCTCTCTATTTGAATTAAGAGAATGCAGCTATATATCTATCCTTATAGAATCTCAGAAACTTGAAGTAAAGCAGGAGTATAGACATTCAACTGGAAAGCAAAACTTAAAAACTATAAACACTAGCTGCCACGTCCTGTGCAGCTCTTGGGGTTCCCCCCAAAAAATAAGAGGATGGGGAAATAAATCTTTATTTATTGACTTGGTACAAAGTTTCACTACACAGCTCGGACTTGTAGTGGTGGCCAGTGTGGCACACCTGGGGTTTGGAGCCAGCATGGTATGTGGTATCAGGGATCAAACCTGGGTCCTTGCACTTGCCAGGCAAGCACTTAGATCATCAACCTCTCCCCTAAACCTGGATGGAGAAGTAAAGATGAAAGATAAAAACTTGAGGTCAGATGAGAGGAAAGACACTACTTAACCACTGTAAGGGCATTTATTTATACATTTGACAAAGTTAGTATTACATGACACAGTTGTCAAGCAGCTAATGGCTGGGCATGTCTCAGGCAAGGTGTTTCTCTGGACTTGATTGCCTCAGGTATTCTTCTCTGACTGGCCTTGCCTTGCCTTGCTCCCTATGTGTGATCAATTAAAGGCCTCAGCAGCTCCCTACATCTCTCCCTTTTGTTTTATAGTTGCAAGTGATGGGTGTTCAGTTGAAGTTGGAGGAGCTGTGTTTGGAGAACTTTTGTAGATAATTTTCTTTCTTATGGTTATACTTTTCTGCTGGGTGTTTAAGACCAAGTTAGTAAGACCTGCATTAATTAATTTTTAGTCTCTATCAGTAAAGTCTCCTCAGGAATTACCTTGGAACCAATATATACTACCTCTTACTACTTCTGTCAGTGTCAGCCAACTGGATGAGTCTCAGCCATTACTTGACCATGTTACTTTCTGTGAAAGCTTGGGAGATATTTTCTCTCCTAGCAACTCTCCTTAGGTACACTATAGATTGTAAAATCACTTTCCTCTGTGGTTCCACAATCTCTTTGATCAGATCAGGGACTCAACCAAGTTATAACATGTCACAGCAGAGATTCTCTTATGTCCTCGGTCTACACTGACCTTGGAGGGCTAAGGCCAAAATATTGGCTATCCTCTTAGCCTGTCAATCTCTTCAATTTTTGATCTCCAAATCTCAGTTGTTGAACATCCAGAAGAGAAGATTAATGACATTACATTGTAATGGAGGCAGTAAGCTTAATATTATCTTACTATTGTTAATTATTATTATCTAAATATCAAACACTTTATCACATAAAATGGAACTGTTATTTTCTAGCAACCATAGGTATTCTAATATTTAAATACCTATAGATTGTTAACAGATAATAGTTACATATTTTTACAAAGAAATTTAGAAATCATTATGGGGCCGGGGAGATGGCTCAGTGGAATAAGCGTTTCCCTGGCAAGCGCAAGGGCCTGAGTTCAATCCCCAGTTCCACCAAAAAAAAAAAA